GTTATATAGAGTTATATAGAGTTATATAGAGTTATATAGAGTTATATAGAGTTATATAGAGTTATATAGAGTTATATAGAGTTATATAGAGTTATATAGAGTTATATAGAGTTATATAGAGTTATATAGAGTTATATAGAGTTATATAGAGTTATATAGAGTTATATAGAGTTATATAGAGTTATATAGAGTTATATAGAGTTATATAGAGTTATATAGAGTTATATAGAGTTATATAGAGTTATATAGAGTTATATAGAGTTATATAGAGTTATATAGAGTTATATAGAGTTATATAGAGTTATATAGAGTTATATAGAGTTATATAGAGTTATATAGAGTTATATAGAGTTATATAGAGTTATATAGAGTTATATAGAGTTATATAGAGTTATATAGAGTTATATAGAGTTATATAGAGTTATATAGAGTTATATAGAGTTATATAGAGTTATATAGAGTTATATAGAGTTATATAGAGCATAAATCCTATATAGATACCGTTCTTTGCGGTTCTTTTCTTTGCCGACCGGTCGGCTTCTTTACGTTTCTCTATTTTCATTTAAATTAATTAAATAAATAAGATTTGTCTATTCATCTAGGGTCATTCAGGTTCATTCATTCAGGTTATAGCTTCCAGAGGAGTTCGTCGTGGAGTATCAGAATGGTTGTAATGTCACCCTACGTTCAAACCTTAACCCTAACTTCCGACTTTACGGTTTCTTAACGGTTTCTTTTTTTGCCAGTTTGCTGGCTTTTCCGGCTGGTGGATTTCACCGCGGATCGTTTCTCTATTTTCATTTAAATTAATTAATTAATTAGGATTTTTTCATTTCATTCAGGTTGAAGCTTCCAGAGGAATTCATCATGGAAGATGTCAGGCTACGTTCGTTCATTCAGGGGCAAAGAATACCTGCCTGACTGGGATACGTTTTCTTCTTTTTTTCTGTAATTTAACATTAAGTAGGAATGCTCACACACACACACACACGCACACACAATTACATTAAGTAGCTATATAGGTAGGTTAGATAGGCCTAATTTTAATTGTAGGTAGGATAGATAGGGAGCATCCAACACTAATGTAGTTGAATAGGTAAGCAGCGTAAGTTTATCTCTTCTATTTTATCGTGCACCCACATTACACGCACCAGCGTATTACACACACACCACAAATACATACATAAACACATATGTTAGTATTTGAGCGTAATTTTATTTTCATTACACATTCTAATTTATTATTACTAAGGTTGAGAGTAATTTAATTTCATAGGTAGTTAAGAGCAATAATGTAATTCTAGGAAAAATCTTGTAATGTAAATTAAAACGCTGTAAGTGTATCGATAGGTAGGTTAATTGTTAAGTTTTACATTATCATTATTAAGTCGGAGCCCAAGGCATTACGTAGGTGGTGGGGTGGGTGCCGAAAGGCCAATGAATTGGGCTCTTGAGTTTTGTAATTTTAGGTAAGCTAGGACCGTAATGTAATGAATAGGTAGGTTAAGGCTACGTTGTAACACATACTCATTAATAGATTTAGGGTTTAAGTTTTATATTATTATTACTAAGTTGGAGCCCAAGGCATTACGTAGGTGGTGGGGTGGGTGCCGAAAGGCCAATGAATTGGGCTCTTGAGTTTTGTAATTTTAGGTAAGCTAGGGCTTAATTGTAATGAATAAGTAAGTTGAGGGTACGATAACCGATAGACTCTGAATTTCTAAGTCTCTTGTCAGAGGTAAGCCTCGGCGGCCAGTGGTGAACCGGCAATGGTTTACTATCCGGACGGCAATGGTTTACTATCTGCACGGTAATGATTTACTATGCGGCATGGCCATAGTCTACTACCCGCACGGCTTCCGGACGGCAAATGGTTTACTATCCGCAAGGCAGTAGTCTACTATCCGCACGGCAATGGTTTACTATCCGGTGCCCTGGCTGTCGGTGAACCTCTGTGCAAGGAGGGAGAATGAAGGGGAACTTTCGACTATCGTACCATTAACAATTTATTATAGATTAGTTAAGGTAATTGAATAGGTAGATAGGATTATTTTTATTAAGCAATTTAAGATGCAGGCACCGCTAAGCTTTCTGATGAGAATTTTCTTTTTCTCCATTCCACGGGCTGTGTTTCAACAACAATCTCAAGGAGGACTGGCACCAGTTTTGGAGGACAACGCAGGAAACGGAAGGAACTCATCATTTTGCCTTTGTCGAATGGACGACGGTAAGTTTTTTTTACATTTTACTCTCTTTATTATTTTCAAATATTATTTATTTGCCATTATTTCCATTTTATAATTTTTTGCTTCTAAGATTCTAACATTCATTTACTACTAAGCTAATAAAAATAACTTGTCTACAGACTGATGAGAGGTGGGCAGAGGTGGGCGTCAGCACGTTTCAGATGGTGGTCTCATGATGATCGTTCCGATAACAACTCGAAGAAAACAACAACGACCATTTTTGAAGTATGGTTTAGTTTCGTTGTTTTTATTTTTTTCATTCATTCATTTTGTCACACAATCTTTCATTCATCCATTAATTGACTCATTCTATTCATTCATTGAATCATAGATTGGTTAATTAACGTTTAACAGCACGTTTCAGATGGTGGTCTCATGATGATCGTTCCGATAACAACTCGAAGAAAACAACAACGACCATTTTTGAAGTATGGTTTAGTTTCGTTGTTTTTATTTTTTTCATTCATTCATTTTGTCACACAATCTTTCATTCATCCATTAATTGACTCATTCTATTCATTCATTGAATCATAGATTGGTTAATTAATTCATTCAATCATTCAATCATTCGCTCAATCATTTATTCGGTTGTTCTTTCTTTTTAACATTCATTTAATACCAAGCCAATAAAAAAAATTTGTCTACAGAATGATCAGAGGTGGGTTGTGGTGGGAGTCAGCACGTTTCATGATGGTAATCTCATGGTAAGATAAGTTGCTTCTTACTTTTTTTCAATGGCTTGTTTTTTTATTTTAAAAAATTAACTTTTTCTTTCAATTTTGTTTTTCAGTATCCGGTAAAATTCATTTCCTCGGTGCGTGTCAGATGATGGTCGGTGCAATGGAGGTTCGTCCGTAGTGGGTGAAAAAGTTTCTGGAGGGTACGCGCGCGCACATTTACATACACGCACGCACATAAATACAACACACACATACACAACATCCATTCATTCGGTGTCGTTGTTGTTATGTTTCTCTTCAACTTTCTATTTTCTTTACCGGACTTAATTTAATTCGTAGGTAAGTTAGGGATTGAGATGAGTTGAACAACTGTAGGTAGGCTAGGGCTTAACATTAGTTAAAAAGTTTCAAGTAAAATATTAACATTAACATAAATTAAAAGCTTCAAGTAAAATTAAAACGTTAAAATATGTAAAATAAATGAGTTGAGTTATCATTACAGGTAAGCTAGGGCCCTGAGAGTAATTTAATTGTAGGTAGGTGACTGACTACTATTTTTGCGACTTTTTAATATTTTTTTTTTGCGGTGTGTTTGTTTTTGCTTCTTAGTACCACACAACACCAACAAAACAAACTACAATTTTTTTTGTCGTCGCCTTAAATTTTACCATTTTTGAACAATCTTTTTAATAATGTCTATTTATTTATTTGTAAAATGTTGACTGGTTTCTAGTTTCTTATTTTGGTTATATAATTTTTGGATATTTCCTGATTTACTTTGTATATATGCATGCATGAATAATTTCTGTTTGGTATGTTGATTTAGTCATTATGATATGATGTGAACTTTCCTTACTAAATATTCATGTTTCGTGATAATTATTTTTTATCGATCGATATTTTGTTATATTTGTTTGTTTAAAATCTGAACTTTTTAAAAAATTGACATTTAACAAATTTTAATTTCGTCACTTCATCTTTTGATGATGTCAAATAAAAGCAACTGTTGTGTTTTTCTTTTCTTACTAAAATCTCGAATACAAACATGTACACATAAAGAGACGCAGACACACATACATACAAACATACATACATACACGCATACATACATACTGCCATCATATATACGCAGTACAATAAACATTCATGTCATTTCTGTCAATGTATTTTAAGTATGTTATACTGTTAATCTTGTTAACTATGATGACGATCATCATCATCATCATCACAACCATCATCAACGAACAACAATAACAACAATATAATAATAATTACAACAACAACAACAACGAAATAAAAATAGTTGTTCTCATTATGCATTTCAAAAGCTTGCATTCTTCTTTTAATACAAGCGTTATATATATATATATATATATATATATATATATATATGTGTGTGTGTGTGTGTATGTGTGTGTGAGTTTGTTTGTGTGTGCGTGTGTGTGCGTGTATGTGTATTGTATATTTTTATCTATTTATTGAAACGTTATTTTTTACGCGTACCCCTTGTCTCATTCTCTCTCTCTCTCTCTCTCTTTCTTACTTTATATATATATATATATATATATATATATATATACATATATGACTGGCTGGCTGGCTGGCTGGCTGACCGACCGACTGACTGACTGACTGGTTGTTTGATTGATTTATCTCATAGTATTGTATACATGAGAAAAAATCCGGTTAAGCCAACCTACGGCTTCAGTAAGCCACTTTTTCACCTGACAAAAGCAATTTCTATATTTATATTGACAAAAATAATTGTGATATGAATATATTGATTTATTTAAAGCATTATATGTACAAAAAAGTGCTATCGTAAGAGTTCTATGAAACCCTGTAAGCCACTGCTGTAAGCCAACGTGTGATTTCAGCAGCCAGTTTCTTATGAGCACCAGCAGAATGTAAAATATTCATTGAATATAATGAAGATAGTTGTTCAAATAACAATTTTGATTTATTTAGGCCGTTTATTTCATAAGCAAACCAATTTTTAACATGATCGAGTAGTGTAAAAAAAAGGGTGACTATAGTTCAATCCTACTAAGCCAACCTTCGGCTTCAGTAAGCCACCGGATTTCACCGGACCAAAAGCAATTTTTATATTCAAATTAACAAAAATAATTTAATACATAATTCTATTAATCATTATTAAAATTAAATAGAATTACTACAATGTTTTAAGCATATTAAATCAAGTAAATATCTCATTTAGCTTGCTCGTTAAAACCCATGCAATTTCGTAAGCCAACAACCCATGCACGACAAATAGCCCGACCGATAGATCGAATTGATCGATTAGTCCTATTATTCTAGTTATATGGTTTGGAGCAAGGGAAGACGTTACTGAAAACAATTAAAAGTTGAAAAAATTGAGGTTCTTTGCATATCTCTGCTTCAACCCATAAGAAGGTGTTGTATGCTGGTAAATAGGCCTCCCCTTGCTTTGTACCCGTTGAGAAATGTAGTTCAATTTCTAAAACTAAATAGATCTACCCGCCGGTTATGAAGTAAAAATTTTAAAAAATAAGCGGTTTTTTGAAGAATTTTAATTTTTAAATGTTAATGACTTTAAAATTGAAAAACATGAATGAAAAACGTTTAACGAAGAAAAGAATAATTCATACAACATAATGTTATAGTTCAATTTCTAAAACTAAATAGATCTATCCGCCGATTATGAAGTAAAAATCATGGAATTATATAACTGGAAGCGCCCTACCAGCGTTTTAACATTGAAAATTTTTTTCAACGGCAAGTTACCTCTGGAAGCAAGTTTCTAAAAATTAATAATTTGTTTTAAAAGTGAAACTATCTTTTTAACAGATACGTTTAAAATTTTGTTACACATTTTGTAATGTATCATATTTTTATAACTTTATAGAGGTTTTGTGGTTTTTCTAGTAAAAATTGGTTTAAAATTTTTATTTTTAACTTTTATTATAAGCTTTTATTTAGTTTAACTTTTAGTTGTACCGTGGGAGGAACTTATGAGTCTCTTTAAACTGTTGACTATAAATAAATATTGCTGGAAAAACCACTTTGCCGTCTCCGAGATTACCAATAATTTAATAATACATCATTCTATTCAATAAAATTTAATATAACTACTACATTGTTTTAGACATATTAAGTCAAGTAGATATTTCATATAGCTTGCTCGTTAAAACCCATGCAATTTCGTATGTAAGCTAATAAGCCAACAATTCATGCCAGTCAAATAGCCTGACCCGTTAAATTATAATATTTAAATGTTTTACTTTTAACCGTTAATTGATCAGATAGGTTCAATAACTGAGACGTAAAGTGATATCTATATTATATAAGAACGATTAAAAATTGAAATAAGTTTAATAAATTATTAATAAAGTTTGTCATGTCCGAGCCGTTAATTTTGCGTCTTGTTGCATCGTCTGTTTCAGTGGCAAACATGGCTGGTAGGATAATCAGAGATATCCTAAAAACTGGGGACTTAGGGATTGTCGAAAAAGTTAGTTTCTTTTATTATTTAAGTTTTGTTTTATAGATGTTATTTTTTTCAATACAAGAAAAACGATTTTACTTTTTCTTAAATAAATGAAACTTCAAATTTGAGGTTAAGTTTAATTTTTAATTTAATCTTTTTTTAAAATTTTATTAAATGTTACTTAACAGTTAGAAGAGTTAGAGTTAGTTAATCTTTTTATAAATGTTTTTATTCACGTAGGGCCTAAATGATTTGCAAACTGAAGCAGATAGGAATGCACAGAAGTGTATTGTTTCATCATTAATGAAAGCATTTCCTGACGTTGCAATTATTGGAGAAGAGGTTCATTATTATTTTTTTTATTTTTATTATTAATTAATATTATTTTTTAATTTTTCATAGTTTGTTTAAATAAATAAAATAGCTAAAAATTCACTAAGCAAATTAAACAAACTCATACAAAACAGGAATATATGGATATTGATAATAATATGAACCACCATCATAATTAATAACCTAATTATTTTTTTTGATTTGCTTAAATTTATATATAATTTTGAAATTTTAATTAAGGAAATTATTTTTTATTATAAAAAAGACACTGGACTATAGTGATGTGAATCCGGATTGGATAACAATGGATCAAGATGCTGATGTCTTAAAGCATGCCGGTTCAATTCCAGATGACTTGAAAAATATTTCAGCAAAAGATGTCATTTTATTTTTTTGTTTCAATTTTATTATTATTGACATTTATTTATATTATTTTATTGTTTATATTATAATTTTATTGCTGTTTTTCTTCTTATTATTATCGTCATAATTTTTTTATTGAAATTATTGTTATTATAAAATTATTATATGAAATTATAGATCTGTATCTGGGTAGATCCTTTGGATGGTACTGCAGAATTTACTCAAGGTCGTAGTGATGGTGGTGATGGTGATAATATTAGTAATAATAATTGATTTTTTTAATAATAACTATAATAATGATGATGATAAGTATGATGATAATAGCAGTCCTAATGTTAGTGATGATGGTGATATCGTTAATTCAAGTTATAAATGATTACATACATACAAATCATTTTGTGTTGAAATTATTTCTACGTATACAATTACTATATCTTGTTATTATCATACTATGTTGATATTATTATTTAATTGTAATATTATAATTAGGTCTTCTTGATCATGTGACCGTCTTGATTGGCATAGCAGTGAAGGAAAAGGCTGTGGCAGGCGTCATCTACCAGCCATATTATAATTACCAGAATGGACCCCAAGCTGAATTAGGCAGAACCATCTGGGGAATTGTTGGATTAGGTTTGTGAATAAATTATTCTAATCAGCTAGTTTATTTATTAATAAATGTTAAAGGTTAAAAGGTTGCTCTCTCTTTTGCGCTTGCTTATTCAATCATTGTCAGTGCTTTGTTAGTTTTTTTGGAAATTAGTAAACTCTTAAATAGGTGGTGTAGGTAGATTAGGTTTTAGAGTTTTTACAATTGATATCCATTTATCAACCGACATTCAAATTGTTATTTAATCGAATTTCTCCTTTCAATCCATTAAATCTTTTTCATTTTTTGAAGGGGCATTTGGCTTTGAGCAAGTAAAGCCTCCAGCGAAAGAGAGAATAATAACGACGACGAGATCACACATGGATGGTGCAGTTAAGGGGGCCATCGATGCCTGCCAACCTACTAAAATCCTCAGAGTGGGAGGAGCTGGACATAAGGTTTAACCTGATTGGTTGAATTTGATGGTTTCTATTTTTGTGGCTGGTAGTTTTGATTGGCTGGTAGTTTTTGTAATAGTATATGTTGACTGGTTGATGGATATCATGATAGTATTATGATTGGTGGTCTCTTGTGATAATATTTCAATTGCTTATCATTCTAATAATTTTGTTCATCATTATTTTTTACAGGTGCTATTGTTGATTGAGGGTAAGGCCCACGCTTACCTGTTTGCCAGCCCAGGTTGTAAAAAGTGGGATACATGTGCACCTGAAGCTGTGCTTCATGCCATGGGAGGTTGTGTGTTTGTATGTTTCTTTCTCTCTCTCTCTTTCCCTCTTTCTCCCTCTCTCTCTCTCTCTCTGTGTTTGCGCGTTTGTATGCAAATTCAAATAACTATTCACATAGGTAAGCTAACTGACGTAAACGGAAATTTCTACCAGTACCATTCTGGGGTGAAGCTGCGAAATGATGGGGGCACGCTGGCCACCTGTCTATTCGAAGACCACCCCTGGTATCTCTCCAAGATGCCAGAAGCCATTAGGTGCACCTTGAAATCCAAATAAAAGTTTAAATGGCAGCTATGAAACCGTTTTTGAGAGTTTCGCATGTGATAAGAGGTAGGTATGTAGGAAGTGATAATTTCCCAATCTATGAGTGCTGTGGAGGATTTTACGTTAAGAGTTAAGTAAGTTTTAGCAATTGAGTTGAACACGAAAATTTACGCAGATTAATATAATCAAAGTTGTTGGATTTGCTGATTAATTTTATATAAAAAAAGCATCGTGTTAGAGCATTATTATATAGACTAGAGCAAATAGATGTTATCATTAACCTTATTAATTAATATCAATGTCATAGTGTATGGTATTATGTGATTATTTTTTTGTGCATGTGTTAGGTAATTTTTACGCTATATTATGTACTCGTGTTTAACAGTAGTTACCTCCTTTATTCGGTTTTCACTCATAAAATTATGTTTATTTGTTAATAATTAATATAAATTGTTAATCATTGTAAAACGTTTAGATATTCTTGAACAAGAGGCCGTCAGAAGTCTCTTCTACTTTTATATAGTTCGCATCGCAGTAGCGTTTGATTTCATAAATTTATCATGAATTTGAACTAACTATTGCTGGTAGCATTTTAGTAAAGGTCTAAGTCCTAATCAAACACCAGAGTTTGGATATGTTAGATAGAAAATAGATAGATAGATGAAAGAAGATAGATAAAAGATAGATAAATAGATAAAAGATAGATGATAGATAGATAAAAGATAGATGAAAGATAGACAGATAAAAGATAGATAGATATAAGATAGATAAAAATTGAAGGAGTGCAAGGTGCCAAGCGATGCGTTTCAAGAAATTGCCCGACTATGTAGCTAAATGTTTTACATACAATTTTAAGGACCAATGATTAATTTTTTTTACTTCCCTACCAAAGTCTTTCATGAGCCGGTCTTTCATTTCAATTTTATCGGTTTTTATATACATAATGACAATATAACTAGATAGAAATATACTTACAATTTCATTTCTATATACAAATACGTATACATATACTGAACAATTGTATAATATATTATCATATACTAGTATATATTTTTATATATACACATATTTACACACACATATACACATACATACACTTATACATTATATTTGTGTATGTGAACTTATCAGAAAGTCTTTCAAATAGATATAGATATTTTTTTTAACCAAATATAGATTTTCTTGTTTTTTGTGCTATATATTCCAATATTATTGTTTAATTAATTGAATTAGTTAATTAATTAATTGTCGTTTTGTTGGACTTTTTCCACAAAATAAAATCTATATATATATATATATATATATATATATATATATAAACATTCAATATATAACAATACTTGTGAATAGTAAATAAATAATTATGAATAATAACATAATAATAAATAGTAAACAGTACTGAGTAGACTATTAAAGGTCAATCTCTCTCTTTTGCATTTGCTTCAGAGGTTTCAACAACAAACACACACAGCTTATATGAACACGCGTGCAAACCACGCACCATACACATTGCATATGATAGGCGGGGATCTCTTTGTATTCGAACCCAGTCATTGCATTAGCAAGACCAGGCGCCTTTAACCATCGAGCCATCACGCCGCCCAGTTATTATTGATATCCCAGAAATTATAGGAATTATTATAATTATTATTATATTACAATAACTCAACGGTATTGTTGTAATTGATCGGTATTTGAAAATACTCTGGAGATAGGCTCTCCAGGTATATCAATCTGTCTTCTAGATTTTTCAGCCTATCGGAATAACTTCTGGACAGGGCTTGATTTTGAGCTGTTTGATTTAAAAAAAATTAATTGTTTAAATAATAATTGATTGTTTAGTTAGTTAATTAATTGATCAAAAATTAAACTGTATTATTATGTACGCATGCATATGTTGTGCATGTTAAACTGTCCGTGCGTTATGTTACATACGTTTTACTAAGTTATACTTGAATCATCTGTTAGCAATAAAATTACACACACACACAAACATACACACACACATACATACACACAAACACACACACACAACTAAAGAGGCAATAGAGTAAGAAAGAAAAAGAGAGAGAGAGAGAGAGAAGTGTAGATCATGAATTAAACTAAACATTACATGAACTTATGGTAAGGAATTTTTCAAGATTGTCCAATCTCTCGTTGACAATGTGTGAAGAAGGCATGATTTCATCAACTTTGTATCTTTTCGATTGAGCTCCCTTGGTAATTATTGACCGCTTCTCTAATTTTACAATCAAATGAAAGAGGATTTAGCGATTAACGAATGATAACTCTCTTTATAGGTTATATTGAATTTTGAAATAAATTAAAAATAACACTTAACTCATTAATTTGAAAATACCTAAAGGTAAAAAAGCTAAATGTAAAAGTGAATTTAAATTTGGATAGAAAAGTTAGAACCACTAACTCGATACATGGCGGTCGTTTCCTTGGCAGGGTTTGTATACTGCTTCAACTCTAGCACAGCTGTTTTCATCTGACTCTGTTTAAATTTATACCATTAAATTAGCATTATTATTTTATTTAATAGAATTTATTACTTTATTTGCTATATTTATTCACCATTTTTATATTTTAATCGTGAATTTTATATTATTACCAATATGCTTGAGATAAATTGAGACAAATGATTATTACGGATGAAAACAAATAATTATTAATTATAAAAGAACCTTCTGGAATTTTATGGCAAAACTCTTTGATGTTCAGAAGATTAATATTCTGTCTTTGATTTTTCATGAAGGCATTTATTCGTCTGTTCATCTGAGCAATAGTATTTAATAATATTATTATAGTTTACAAATCATTATATAATATAATGAAAAACAATTATATTTAAATTTTCTCCCCCCCTCTCTTTCTCTCTCTCTCTATCTATCTAGCAAAATATCATATAAAAAATCATAATTATATCAATGTAAATGTGATAAATACCTCTGCATTTGAGACATTAATTAGTACATCATCTTCTTTTATCGGGTCATCACCAACACCTTCATAATTTTCTGTAGCAGCAGTGCTAGTAGTAGTAGTAGTGGTAATTGTAGCTGCAGTTGCAGCAGTAGCATTAGCAGTGGGAGTGGTAATACTTACAAAAATTACTTCGTTATTATTTTTGCTACCATCGATAATTTTGCACCTTTCGAGGCCGCTAATTCCAATAATATTATTATCAGTAACATTAATAATATTATTAATATTATTATTTAATCTTTGACTATCACCATCGCTGCCACCAGGGTTTTTTATGATAGCGACATCTGCCACTATATGCATAACATCTGAAACAATTTTTGGTGTAATTTCACTCGGTAGGATGCATAAACATTGGGAGACTGAATTCCTAATAATGTTTGCATTTAGATTTAACTCTAAAGCCTGAATGGATAAATTAGAAACTTTATAAGTAAAAGTAAAGTAAAGTGTAAAGATTATCATTATTATTATAATATTAATTAATATCATTTATAGCTAAATTATTACCAAAACTAAAAGTAATTAAGAATAAAAAAATAATATTAAAATGGAGTGCAATTTAATTAAATTTTAAATTAAAATAAATATCAAACTATTAAAAATTAAATTATTAAAAAATTAATTTCTATTACTTACCCTCGAGAAAAAATTGTACAAATCAAAAACCAATGATTCGTCATACATTATTATCCTATGAACCAGCCAACAGATTGAAAATTAATGGCGTTTGTAATCTGGGATCAGAGAAGATTTTGTCACAAAATCCTAAGAGACCAAAACACCGAACGGTGCACTGTTCATCGACTGGTTTTCCCATCTGTATTTATATAGTTTAAAAAGCGACCCATGGTGCAACTAAAAGTTAAGCTAGTAAGGTCGTAAAGCTGATAAAATGAAGCCTTATTACCCATTGTAAACTATCCATAGTATTACCAAAATATATTTTAAAATCAAGCTTGGCACTACATTAGCTTTATTTTAACCTAAATTCAAAAATAATATATTACTGAAATATATTTTTGCGCCAGTAGTTTGTAACTTTAACGCGTTGAGCATATCGATATAACTAGAATAACTATTAAGAAGGTATAAAAACTAAAGAAGTAACAAGAAGGAAAAGATCAGGATCGCCAAAAAATAACAAAAAAATTTTTTATTCTATGTAGATGAAAGTAAGAATATCGTTAAATATTTCATAAATGGCCATGAAATAATTTTTGTTCTGCTAAAATTTGAAAATGTGAATATTCAACATTGATCGTTTCTCAACTCAACATAAACAAATTAAAAGTGAATCTAATTAAATAGTTGTGGTTATCTAGTTAGGTTTTCGCCCAGTACGTTGTGAAGGTTTTTTTTCCGATCCCCATCCGTCATTGTTTAATTAGTAATTAATAATTAATTAATAATAATTAATTAATTTATTATGTGGTTTTGTTGTCGTTAATAATAAATTTTAAAGTTTCTTATTGATAGTTAATCTGGTAGTAAAAACAGAATACTGAAAATACAAAATACTAATATCTTATAATAAAATGATTATTTTATTATAAGATATTAGCATGCAGCCGTTCATTTTAAAAATTTAGACATTATTTGTGTCTAGATAATACTTTAATTGTGATTCGGAATCTAATGATTGCAGATTGACAAAAAATTGGGGATCTGGAAGGAATAAATTTCTAAAGATGTCTACAAACATGCCTAGAACTGGTGAACGAATAGCACTCAGCAATTGGGCCAAGTTGAGATTGTGAGGATAATTTTGGTTTTTTGAAATTAATCATTTAAACTAAATTAAATTGAAATCAAAAATTTACAAATATCCACTGTAAATTTAATTGAAAAATTTTTAGTATGTTTGGTTTTTTGTGTAGTGCTTATTAACTAAGCCTTAATTTGCATTGTCTTCTAATAATAAATAATCAAATGTAGTAATACTCATTATTAATTAATATTGCTCTTTTTACTTTTTATTTTAATTAATTCCCAGAAGAAGTATTAAAACAGCATACTTAGTGTGAGCAAAGAAAATAAAATATAGTAAACACAATACAATAGGTTCATATAAATTAATACACACCATGCACATTGCATGTGACTAGCTAAGGCCTCTCTTTGAAACTAGTCACTGCAACACCAAAGCCAGGCTTTTAACCATTAAACCGTAAATAATAATATCATTAATATTATTTATTAGTTATATTTTTAAAAACTTCTTTCCGTAGTTACGTTGTGAACAAAAAACCGGCTGCTGTTAAAGAAGCAGAAGCAAGCAAATGGCTGACACTAATTAGGTGATTCCCTATTTATAAATCTTTTGACACTGAAATATTAAAATGTTCTAGTATAATTCACATACAAATGCACAAACAACTAAAAAAATGTTGCAAAGAATCATGAAAAAATTAAAAAAAAGATCCTTAATTAGTAAAAATAAAACTCAACAGAGGCACAGAAAAATTTTTCGGTGTTTCTGACAACCCCCAAGAAACTGAGGAAATGAAAGAAAAGTGGCGGGCTCGTCTGAACCAACTTTACGGAGGTAAGGGCATGATGGTCTTGAAGGGCCAGCCAGCCAGTGGTGGGGAGGCAGAGGGTGGAATGGAGATGGGCCTCTTGGGGACTGATTCAATTGATGGCAGGCTAGGGCGGGGTGAATTGATTAGTGAATTGTTAGGATTTAGTAAATGAATGAAAGAATGAATGAATAAATCGTTTGTTTGTTGGTTGATTGGTTGATTGATCAATTTATTGGTTGTTTTACAGGTAATTTTATCAATTTTTTTCATTTTACTTTAACCTTGTTTTCAATTTTTTAGTTTTTGAATTTTTTTTTGTTCCAAATTTGTTATTTTCAATCCTGATTAGGCTGCCCAAGAAAAAGATGATGCACCTGAAACCGAAAGAAAACGTTTTTATGATGACCTATGATGCTTTCATGAAGAAAGATGTCATACATAATTTCTGCCCATTTTATTTTTTTTCAAATTTCATCAATATATTTTTCTTTATATTAATAAAATATGAATAACTGATTGAATGATTGAATCAATTATTAACTGAATAAAGAAATGAATCAATGAATGAATCAATGAACAACAGAATTTATAATTGATTAAAGAAATGGGTGAATAACTTGCTATGTGAATGTAATGCTGGGATAATGAATGACTGACTGACCGAATGATTGACTTAGTGATTGAATAAATGATTGAATGGATGGATGAATGAATGAACGAATGAATGAATGACTGACTGACTCAGCGGCTTAATAAATGAATGAATAAATAAATAAATGAGTGAATGAATGAATGAGGTAAAAATGAGCTGTGAGGTTGTGTAATTGTTACTTGCGTTTGAACCCAAGGGATTCCTGTCTCTCTGATACACAAATAATAAAAATAATAATAGCAGTAAAATAATTACGCTTCTTCTTCTTATTTTTTTCTTATAGAAAGGCGTGAAGGCGTTGAAAAGTCGGAGTTATGCTCCCAGCGACACAGTATGTAGAGATTTTTTTTTTTTGGAAATTTTAATTGGTGTTTGTCGTTCGTCTGATAAGGTTGTTGATTTAGTTATTGACACTGTTGTGTGGATGTTGTTGTACACGTACACACGCACGCACGCACACACTCATAGACACAAACACGCACGCACACACGCAAACAGAGAAAAGGAAAATTTCAACTGTCCAGTGAACTTAGATCGATGTTGGATGAAGATTTTTTCAAGTTGCCTATTGGTACTGGACAGAGAAGACTAGCCAAATCGAAGAGAATGGACACGGATCAGGATCGGGATATGGTCGATAGTTTTAGGCCGCCTGGCAGAGATATGTAAGCTTATGTGCGTGTGTTTGTGTGTGCGTGTATTCGTGTGTGAGCGTGTGTTCGTGCGTGCGTGTGTGTGTGTGACGGTGAGGTGGCGTAAAAAAAGAATCCATGTCCATCATGCACTACAATATACGACGTCCGTTTGTGTGTAAAATTTTGGAAAGCAGCTTTGAAGATGACGCCAAGTGATTGAGAATGCACGAATGCGAGAATAAATAGCTGAACGAATGAGTGAAGAATGAGTGAAGAATGAATGAAGAATGAGTGAAGAATGAGTGAAGAATGAATGAAAGACCACCAACAACAACAACAACAATAGGATTGACCTGTCCATCTTAGAAGAACTTTCCGACACGAACAAGCGCGAATTTGGGACTGGAGGCTTCATCGGCAGACGACTCTTCAACATCGAGAAAGATGATTCTAAGATCAGCAAGGATGCTATGAGACAGTTGCAGGAGATGGGAGACGTCTTGCACAGGTTTTTTTTACTTATTTTCTTTGTATAGGTTTTTTTTTTTTTTTACGTTTGTCTCATATAGGTTTCTTTTTGAAAAGGTATTTTTTTTTATGGAGTGCGATAAAAGTGAATGTAGGGATGATAACTCAATCAACCAGTCAATTTATCAATCAGTTAATCAATCAATCAATCAATCAACTAATCAACCAACCAGTCAATTTATCAATCAATCAATCAGTCAATTTATCAATCAGTTAATTAATCAATCAATCAATCAGTCAATTTATCAATCAGTTAATTAATCAATCAATCAACTAATCAACCAACAAGTCAATTTATCAATCAGTTAATCAATCAATCAATCAATCAGTCAATTTATCAATCAGTTAATTAATCAATCAATCAACTAATCAACCAACCAGTCAATTTATCAATCAATCAATCAGTCAATTTATCAATCAGTTAATTAATCAATCAATCAATCAGTCAATTTATCAATCAGTTAATTAATCAATCAATCAACTAATCAACCAACAAGTCAATTTATCAATCAGTTAATCAATCAATCAATCAGTCAATTTATCAATCAGTTAATTAATCAATCAATCAACTAATCAACCAACCAGTCAATTTATCAATCAATCAATCAGTCAATTTATCAATCAGTTAATTAATCAATCAATCAATCAGTCAATTTATCAATCAGTTAATTAATCAATCAATCAACTAATCAACCAACAAGTCAATTTATCAATCAGTTAATCAATCAATCAATCAATCAGTCAATTTATCAATCAGTTAATTAATCAATCAATCAACTAATCAACCAACCAGTCAATTTATCAATCAGTTAATTAATCAACCAATCAACTAATCAACTAATCAGTCAATCAAATTCATGTGTTTAGTGCATTCAGACAGACCGACCAACGTAGCAAATTAAACCGTTGGAATTAAATGAGACAATGCTCTCCTGGTCTTGTTGGCTCTGATGTTAAATATGAAGATTAAGATTAATAATAATAAATAATATTATTACCATTATTGTTTTAATAATAATTATTATTATTTTTATAACCAGGCCATATTTTACTTATTGGGTCACATTCGTTCAAATCGTCTGCTACATCGTCACTATTTCTGTATATGGTTTGGCTCCAATTGGCATCAGTTCGAGAGCTGTCAATGCAGAGGTTGTTGTCGTTGTTGCTGTTGTTACTGATTTTGTTGCTCTTGTTGTCGTTGCTGTTGTTGTTGCTGTTGTTGTTGTTGATGTGGTTGATGTTGTTGTTGCTGATTTTGTTGTTGTTGCTGTTGTTACTGATCTTGTTGACGTTGTTGTTGTTGCTGCTGTTGTTTTTGCTGCTGTTGCTGTTGTTGTTGTTGATGTTTCCGAATATATTACTCTTCAGATATATTCATCGAAAATGTTTGTCGAGTCTATAGCGCTCATTGAGAAAGAAAATTTTTGGATTGGACCAAGACAGGTTGGAGAATATTTCATTCATTCATTCATTCATTCATTCATTCATTCATTCATTCATTCATTCATTCATTCATTCATTCATTCATTCATTCATTAGTTCATTCATTCATTCATTTATTAACTATTTCATTCATTAACTATTTTATTCATCAGTGTCAGTCATAACGATCTAATTCACTCAATTCATCATTCAACACTGATCAAATAAGAATAAACATTCCCTAACTCCGCTAATTCCGGACGAAAATTTAGGAAGACCTAATTCACCTGGGGGCCAAATATTCTCCGTGCATGCGCAGAGACGCGAACGTCGTGGAAGCCATCAAGAAAGATAGAGCGCTGGAAAACGAAACTGCCTGCTGCGTTCGGAACGATGGTCTGGGATGCGTTCAGACGCCTGCCTCCATGTGTTCGGTTAGGGAATTAGTGGATGGATGGATGGATAAGTAGTGAAAATGAATGAATGAATGAATGAATGAATGAATGAATGAATGAATGAATGAATGAATGAATGAATGAATGAATGAATGAATGAATGAATGAATGAATAAGTGACGGTACGTATAGAAAGACATGCTATCAAAAAATGATTTTTTCACAGTCAATCCTTTCAACTTGGCATAAAACTGGCCAAAGTACGACAGTCTGCGGACAAGATCCAAAGTAAGATGGACGAACGGATGGAGGGATGGATGGACGGACGGATGGATGGATGGTTGGACGAATGAAAAGATGTATGAATTGATTTAACAATGAACGAATGGATACTCTGATATCCATACATATATGGGTAAATTGATAGTAGGAAGACAAGCAAGTGTACAAATGAATGAATTAATGAATGAACGAATGGATGAATGAATGATTGATTGATGGATCGAACTTCAATCTTCTCAATTAATTTTCTTATTGTTTCAGTTATTGTTCAGCTCCAGCTTCTCTAGACCCATACAAATGGCCTAATGATATTATAGACTGGCCCGTTAGTTTCATATTACATTAACATAATTTATTATAATTATTATTATTACCATTATCAATATTATTATGTTGTTATTATTAGATATGTCTGAAAAGTTCTTTAACGAACGGCACATCCCTGCAAGGAATTCCACGTCACATGACCTGCCAAGTGGCGGGAAAACCTTGCTGTATTGGTATTCAAGGTCGTTATCATCATCGTCATCATCGTCGTCGTCGTCAACATCATCATTCTTTCATTCATCTGCATGTTCAGTCGTTCATCCGTCTGTTTTCTCAGTTACTCATTCATTCATCACCATCATTGCCATTACCTTGTCACTAATATCATCACCATCAACATCACCATCATCATCAACACCACCATCATCATCATCACCTTGTCATTAACATAATCATCACCTTCACCTTATCATTAACATCATCATCACTATCACCTTATCATTTATCATCATCATCATCATCAACATCATTATCATCATCATCACCTTATCATTAACATCATTATCATCATCATCACCTTATCATTAACATCATCATCACCACCATTACCTTATCATTCATCGTCATCAACACCACCACCATCATCATCATCAACACCACCATCATCATCATCACCAGGGGAGTGCATAGTAACGACCAGGGAAGAGTGTGAGTTTAAGAGAGGGTACTTTCACGACGATGCCTTCTTGTGTTCTCAGGTTCATTGCGTGATGACGTGTGGATAGCTAAGTACGTAGTGTAGCGGTTGTGGTGTCTGGCAGTGCCGTTGCTCTGACAATCAATCAATCCAATCAATCAATCAACCAATCAATCAATCAATCGTCCAGTCACTCCGTCATGAAAGCTCCTAAATAACCAACTAACCAACCAATCGGCCAATCAATCAATCAACCAATCAATCTACCAATCAATCTACCAATCGGCCAATCAATCAATCAACCAATCAATCAATCCAATTGATCAAACAAACAACGAATTATTAATTAATCAACCAACCGAGCAACTAACAGACCAAAGAATCAATTAATAAATATACAAGGCAAATAATTAATCAACTAATCAACTAATCATCCAATCAGTTAATCAACCAATCAGTTTATCATCCAATCAGTTAATCACTCACTCACTCACTCACTCACTCACTCACTCACTCACTCACTCACTCACTCACTCACTCACTCACTCAAACAAATATTGACAGGTTTCTTGCATAGAGGAAACATGCGGAATGCTTCCATTCTGGAATTCAAACAGACCAGATCAGTTCTACAGACTCTGGCTCTCTCTCTTCATACACGCTGGGTATGTGTGCGCGTGTGTATATGTTTGTCTGTGTGTGTGTATGTGCGTGTGTATTTGTTTGTCTGTGTGTGTGTACGTGTGTATGTGTTTTTTGTTTGTTTGTGTGTGTGCTTGTTTGTGTGTGGGTGTGTGTGCTTGTTTGTGTGTGGGTGTGTTTTTTTGTTTGTGTGTGCGTGGGTGTGTATGTGTTTTTTGTTTGTTTATTTGTGTGTGTGTGTGTTTGTTTGTTTGTGAGTGTGTGTGTGTGTAAAAAATACACATTTGTTTGTGTTACTATTTATAAACGCTGTGTTTGCCTGTTTACGCTGTGTTTACGTGTTTTTATTTTTATGTATAATTTAAACTAATTCAACTAACCAAGCAACACACACACACGCACACACACACACGCACACACACACACGCACACACACACAACAGCGTCCTACAACTCTTGATAACGATCCTCTTTCAATTTTTCTTCATGAGGGATGTGGAGAAGATGCTGGGCTGGCATAGAACGGCTTTCATCTACATAATGAGTGGTGTCGTCGGCAGCTTGGCCAGTGCCATCTTCGTGCCCTATCACGTTGAGGTAGGCCTGCTAATTTGAATATTAATGAGTTTGTGTTAATATTAATGAGTTTGTGTGAATATTAATGAGTTTTGGAAATACTAACATTTATGAATATTAATGTATTAAGGATTACACAAGTATTAAACTGCGTGGATATGAGTATGAATATGCAATATGATTTGATTTAACTTATTAAAACATTGATATAATTATGAATAAGATGAAATACTTAATTTATTCATAACTCCGCCTATTTTTTTTTTCAAATTACAGGCCGGTCCGTCTGGCTCGCAGTTCGGAATTCTCTCGTGCCTATTTGTAGAGTTGATAAACTACTGGCCCTTCCTATACAAACCTTACATCGCACTCATTAAGCTCCTCCTAGTTCTGCTTCTCTTGTTTGTGATTGGTCTACTGCCTATGGTTGACAACTACGCTCATCTGTTTGGTTTCATTTTTGGGTTTTTACTTTCGTTCTCAGTTATGCCACACGTCGAGTTAAACATAGCCGACAGGAAAAAGAAACTGATCGCCGTTTTTATTTGTTTCTTTGGTAGTTTTGTTATCTTGCTACTGCTGACGCTGCTCTTCTACGTGGTCCCCATCTACGACTGCCCATACTGCCAGTACTTCAGCTGCATACCATTCACAGAGACATTCTGCAGTAGTATGGAGGTCAAGATTCGCAGAGATGCTAACTGATAGAGAGAGAGAGAGAGAGGGGGGGGGGGAGAGAGAAAACAAATATGTTTCATTTTATATTGAAAAATTATTTAAGTTAAAGAAGACGAATTATTATTTGATAAATAATAAGAATATATATATATATATGTGTGTCTGTGTGTATGTTTATTTTTAGTTTGTGTTTTGTGCCTATTCTTTATTCTTTCTTATTTTATAATTGTTATTATAAATTAATTATAAAAATTTTTGTGGTGGTATGTTTGCTAGTTTTTTTTTATCATGCTAATAATTAAATAAATACATGTATATATGCTGGTAAAAGACCATAATTAATATGGTAGTTTGTGAAATCCACCGAATTTCTAGCGTTGATTGGGACCTATATCTATATTTAAACAACAATTCGGTAGAATTCATACAATACTGTATAAAATATGGTCTCCTTCCATTTTTTTCCATATATATATATATATATATATATATATATATATATATATATATATATATATATTTGTCTTTTCATTTATGAGAAATTATATTTTCTTATGTGTTGTTCAATCTATGCAAATTCGTAAAATGATTGCTGTTAAAATATCTTTAATAATAAATGAATAAATAAACGTTATATTTCATTAATAATCATAATAATGAATTTTTTCTTCTTTGTTAATTTATTTGTTTGATATTTAATACCGTTCTTTAACAATAAATTTTTTTCATAATTTTTACTAGCACACACACACACACACACAACTATATATAACCTATAATTATTGTTTTGTAAATTTGGATTTAACAAGTTTTTAAAATTTTGGACTTTTATTTGAAATTTAAGTATCCAACTCATTCCCACCGATCTTCACAATTATATTATTTTACCTTTCTATCATTACGGCTTGATGGTCAAGACGAAGTGTGTGTGCGTGCGTGCGTGTGTGTGTTGGTACGTGTCAGAGAATTAATTTAAGAGAATTGTTGAATGTAATAACATTATTATCAACAACAACAACACACGTTTAGACGGCATTTTCCCCGAGATCGGGGGCTGCCGTTTGGCTACCTATGATAAAACCGAAATACCCCTCGACGCCATCCACACCTGTCAACATTATTATCATAATTTATTATTAATTTATGCCATTCCTGGTTATGAGTTTTTTTTAGCTGTTTTTACCTATTGAAATTTTTAATCTCCCACATTCAGACCAGTGTATTTTAGTTTCAAATTCATTCTTTCAGTTTTTTAAATGCACACACACGCACGCACACACGCATTAATTCTTTAATCTGCCTTACTTTTTTCATTCATTTAATTAATAGACAATATTTCTATGTTTTATATTATATTATTCAATCGAATTGTGTGCGCTAGAAGAAGAGTTCAAATGCATTTATGAGGAAACAAAGACACACGCTACGTGTACGTGTGGGATTTATTTCCTACGAAGTGTTTTTTATTTTTAACGAAGATATATTCTATTGTCGTTATAACGAAATGGGAGAGAATTTTATTAACAAATTTACAATTGAAGGAATTGTTTTTTATTCTCAATCAGCCAACCAGCCAATCAATTGATTAATTGATCAGCAGTATCAAATTCAATTCTTAGAGAATAAAAAACTAAAAAAAAGGTAAAATTAACCCTTAGTTAACATAAAATATGCAAGCTACCGATAATTACCATGAAATTTATGAAACGCATGATTAAGGTGAAGCAGTACGAGACCCTAATTAGCATAAATATGATAATTAGCTCCGTCAAGTCAGGGCGAAATGCACAGCCTCGAGGCACAGTCGAAAATCCAAGCCGGTGTCACGTGACACAATCTCTTGTTCATTATTTTGAAGGAGTTTGTATTGTTGTTGTTGTTATTATTATTGTTGTTGTTGTTATTATTTTTCGTGCTTTCGTCTTTTTTATTTCTTTCCTTATTTTTCTCCATTTTTGATTTTTTGGCGGCCGTTCTAATCAAAGAATTATTATTATTATTATTACTACTGCGTTTATTAGTGCTAATTTTATTATTATCGTTCTTCTTATTATTATTGTTATTAGAATCTTCTAGATCAGGAACGACAAATATGTGATGGATAGTGACGAATGGGGAGTCGGGATTAGCATTAGATAGAGTCGTAGACATCATCATCGTTGTTGTAGTTGTTGTTAGACTCGAATTCATTGATTGATTTAATGTCGACTGATTGATGATTGATTGATCCAGAGTTGAATGATTGATGATTGATTGATCCAGAGTTGACCGACTGATGATTGATTGATGCAACACGTCATCACAGTTGTTACCATCTTGACCAAATTCGCCGTCATCCTGGCCTAATTCCTCTAGTTTTAATTTGGCGGCTCTAAGTGATATTTTACCTGACCCATATTTTATTAATGAGGTCAGATCGGATTTTATGGACGTTGGCAACTTTGGGGATAAGTAAAAATTCCCGCCTTTGAATAATTTCGGAAGCTGAGCGGAGATGGGAAAAGTTTTTTTAGATTCATTTAATATTCCATCCACCTATTCAATAATAATAATAATAATAAGAATAACAACAACAATAATAAGAATAACAACAATAATATAAATAACTTGTAACGCCGTGCTGTTCCTGGATCTATGAAGGATGGACGGATCTGGATGAATGAAGCATCCATTTATCTCATAATCAGACTCTTCAATCCATCCATTATTTTTACTGCATGCCTCTAACCCTGGGTGATGATGGTGATGGGAATAATGATGATGATGATGGGAATAATGATGATGATGGGAATAATGATGATAATGATTGTGGCGATGGTACTGATGATGATATCTAACAATCTAGGTGTACAATCCATTTCCCAAGTATCAAAGCACTCATGTACTTCATCGTTCGAACGCATAACCTCTTCTCATTGGTCGACGGAATCAGATGCGTGACTAAATTTGCATAATTTATGAATTAATTAACATAAGTTGTGAATTTAATTTGCATAATTCGTAGATTAATCAGTATAATTTATGGATAAATTGATTCTAGAATTACGATCCTACATATAATTTGCATCTCAATCTTCCCGGCAATAACTTGAATTTGGTAAAAGTAGCGCAATTTATTTAAGAGCACCGGCGAGAAATTTTAATAAACTCGCATATTTATATCCGTGATTTACAGAAATTATCATAATCAATCATTAATTCAAAATTTTCCTAACCAGTTTCATCGAATTCGTCTTTGAAAGTCCAATTCAGATCGGCAACGTTTTTCGAGATCCACGACTTGATACCTGACCTGAATCCGGAGCAAGTTATGACCAGACGATGCTGGGGACGATGTTTCGGCGTTCCTATTGGCTGGAACTACATGGGGTGTGGGGTAAATATAGAAACGCGAGTAACACCTAACTAGAGAAACTGGGGTAACGACTGAGTTAAAAGCTATCTCGAATCAATAAATTTCGACTATAATGATATTAAAGTATTGATAAATTAGCCACATCGATGTATTACGCTGCAAAGCGTTCGTAACGATTGGTCACGAACCGATCGGTTTTTTCAGAAGTCTTTAAACAATTAGCACACATCACCTCAAACTACCTGAAAGAAAAATTCAACGAAAAACTCCTTCACCAATCAAGAAATAAAACAATTACCGATGGTAACGGCGATGACGACGGCGATGACGTCATTATTTGTTTATAATTATTATTATTATTATTATAATTATTATTATTATAATTATTATTATAATTATTATTATTATAATTATTATTATTATTATTATTATTATTATTATCGTTATCGCCGTTGTTATTATTCTTATGATTCAATAATGTTCCCTCCATCTCTGAGCACTTGGCTAACTCAAAAGCTGCATGGCCTGAACTGGTTCTACGGGAATAATAAGAATAATAACAAACCATAACAATAATAATAATAAATAATAATAACAATAATAATAACAACCGCAGTAACCTCTTATTGACATCAGCCCCGTACTTCAGCAGCAGCAGAGCACAGGCCTGTTGATTCTGTTCAACAGCGTCATGTAGTGGCGTGTAGTCGTCGTAACCTGGTTCGTCCACGAACGCTGAGTGCATCAGTAGCTGCTCCACTATCAGCGTGTGGCCGTGGTGGCAGGCTTCGTGCTGTCGCGTGGTGTATGTTGGAGCCACCCATTCGATCCATTTAATAAACCACCCATTCAATTAAAAAACTGACCAATAAACCAACTACTCCACTAACAAAAAATCAATTCATCAGGCAGTTGATCAATCAATCAATCAATCAATCAATCAATCAATCAATCAATCAATTACTTCATCAATCAATTACTTAATCAATCAATTACTTAATCAATCAATCAATCAATCATCTAATCGATCTGCCAACCCACCAGAGGAGTCCAGAGAGCATTATCTTTAACATTGGGGTCGAATCCTTCATTCAAGAGATTCTTAACCAATTCTGTGTCACCCTTTTTAATAAATCAATCAATAAATCAATCAATCAATCAATCAACCTATCGATCATTCAATCCATCAATCAACTTACCGATCATTTGCACATTCATTCATTCATTCACTAGCTCACTTAATTTTTCAATCTTGCATTTAATGAACTATTCATTTTGAGAATCTCTCATCACTCAATCAACTAACCAATCAAACAACCAACCGACCAATCAGCCAACCAATCAACCAACCAACCAACCAACCAACCAACCAACCAACCGATCAGCCAACCAATCAACCAACCGACCAATCAGCCAACCAATCAACCAACCAACCAACCAAGCAGCCAATCAACCAACCAACCAACCAACCAACCGATCAGCCAACCAACCGATCAGCCAACCAATCAATCAAGCAAGCAGCCAATCAACCAACCAACCAATCAACCGATCAGCCAACCAATCAATCAAGCAAGCAGCCAATCAACTAATCAGCCAGCGAACACACCTTGATGCAAGCAACATGCAACGCAGTTTCGCCTTTATTGTTTCTCTTATTTAGTCTCTTGGTTAAACTTTTGTTACAAGGGGTTGTCATATTTAGTTTATTGCTCATCTTATTATCGTTACTGTCGTTCTCGATTGGCGATTTTCGAGCGACGATTCCAGATTCAATTTTAATCTTTTTGGCTTCTAGCAACGAATCATTAGTATTTAGTGTTTTTGGTGTCGTCTGTTTGCTGAAGTAACGGTCAACGGTAGATAAACTGGAGTTTAATTTTCGTTTTGATGACCTGGTTGTTGCAGCAGCTCTTGGTAATGATGTTGTTGTGGTTGATGGTGCTGATGATGATGTTGATGTTGTTGATGATGATGTTGTTTTCACTGATGGTGTTGATGATGATGCTGATATTATTGACGATTTTGCTATAGCATTTTTCAAATCTGTGTTTCAAAAATAAAATATCGAAGGATATTTATTTTTGGATTGATTGATTGAATGAAAAATGACAAAATAACTGACTCATTGTATGATATATTAATGATTAATGAGTGAACTGACTGGCTGGTTAAATAAATGAATGAATGATTAATTGATTGATTGAATGAATATTCATTTACCAACCAAATTTATTATCAATATTTAATATTTTAGACAGAATGCTGCATGATTTTAAAGTAACATCGATGTCGTTTAACTTCGTTGATAACTTCTCTTTGTCACAATTCCTACATTTTTCAATTCGATCTTCACAGGATCTATAAACATAAAATAATATTTATAATTTTTGAAATAATTAATTACAAAAATAATAATAAATAAGAATAAAAATAATAAATAATAATAAACTAACAAGCACATCAACTCTTTACAGCATTTTGTCATGAAAAGAACTTCTTTTGAATTGCTGTTTAAAGATTTATCATGTCAGTTATTTATAACAATTGCACACACACACACACACATACATACATACACACACGCACACATACACACACACTCATGCACACTCAGCATGCACATAAAATAAAATCTTAATTATGTGTACCAGTACTGTAATATTATATTATAAGATTTATGTGTATTTGTAATTTTGTGTGTATATGAATTGCAAATGAAAGCATCATGGATCATATCATACTTTGATTATATTTATATCTCTTCTTATACATCATCACCAATGATAACTTTATTTCAATTATGAATTAAATATTTTAAAATATATTAGAAATAATAAAAACGAACCATGAGCTGCATTTGAAAATTTTTAAAAAATTACAAAATGCATTTTTCGTGTTGTTCCATATGAAGGTTGAGGAAGTTTTAGAACTATTATTTTCATCTTCCATTATTTGATTATTAAATGAAATAATAATTTAAAAAAAATTTTATTCAAAATTAATAACTTGATGAGATCCCTAATAACTGATTTTCAACATTTTAGAAATTTATTTTCAAATTACCAAGTTTTCGCACTTGAACTATTATTACATGTATGTGACAAAATTGAACGCAGAAATTCAATTTATGGAAAGCCATTGTGTACAAAAAAAAAAGTTTTTCTGTCTGTGGTTTATAAAATTCATTTTATCTTTTAAAAATCCACTTAGATATGTCAGCACATTTACATTAAAATTTCAATTGCCATCAAACTGTCTAACATACATTTATATAATACCTTTTAATGCCATGCACATGTCATACAGAAACACAGACACACAATCACATACAAACATCAAAGTATACAATCTTTTGCTAGAATCAAACATACAAAACATATATACATACTATTAATCTGCTAAATAAATAGAAATAAAACCTGTCCCCAACTAAAGCTCCTCTACATTGAAACTTTTTCTGCCTATTTTATGATATTTGTCAGTGTCGTGCTATGAATAGGAGTTTCTCCCACATATGTATGTGTGTGTGTGTATGTATGTATGTATGTATGTTTGTGTGTGTGTGTATGTATGTTTCTTTTTGTGTGTTTGTATGTGTGTATGTATGCCTGTATGTTTCTTTTCTTGTGTGTGTGTGTGTGTGTGTTTGGGTGTATATATGTTTGTGTTTGTGCGCGTGTAATGTTTTCATTCAAATGGTTAGTCTTTTTTATCATGTAACTAATGAGATATGTACGTGTGTGAGTGTGTATTAATACATATACAGATTGAGACTGTGGTATATAAAAGTAACTATAAAAACCATCGCGATTTTGTAATTATTCAACTTAAAGTTGAGTCCTTCTATTCTTCGAACAAGGACCTTGTCTTCATATTTTTAGTTTAATAAGACTGAACAACAAAATTTGTTAAAAATATTTTAGCCTTTTCTAAAATTATACATAATTAACATTGTAGTAACTAAAGATGCTGTAGTAATTAATGATGATGACGATGATTTGGGGAACTGTTGTTCAGAGTTAGTTAAAGTTTATATTTCGTTTTAAGTGGGATCCATAATAAGCTTAAAACGATGTGCTTGCTCATTGTAATGTAGATACATTTTTAATAGGTTTATAACACAACACCGACGACAACTCAATGTTATGATGACAACAACAAAATAATAATAACAATAATAATATAAATTATAACAATAATAATAATAATAAAGATGTATTTCACAGTTTACACATTTAAAAAAAATTATTATTTAGTCGTTGAAATGAATCTGTTGGTCGTCAAAAACCGGGCAGTAACTCTGTTTTCTCGGGTTCGAATCCACCGTGGCCAAATTTCGAAAATAATAGCGCAACGGATTCACTAACTCATTATTGTTATTATTATAATTGTTGTTGTTGTCATCATTGTTGTTAATGTTGCTGTTGTTGTTGATGTTGTTAGAAGCTGGTAAAGCGGTCGGCGTTTCAATCAGACAATCACATTTGATGTTGTTGTCATTGTTGCAACTACTGTTACAAATATTTGTTAAATTAAGCGCTTCAACATTTGTAACAGAATTATCTAGCGCATCTCTGTTGTTGTTGCAGTGAAGGTAACATCTTGGAATTTGATTGGTTGGTTGATTGATAGATTGATTAGTAGACCGGTTGATTTTGCGCAAGGACAGGGTCTGATAGTGTTGATGTTGTGGCTGGTGCGGTTGCGACTGAGAGTTCTGAAGTTGGCGAATCAGTAGGTGCTCGTCATCATCTTCTTCCTGAATATCGTAACTATGATGGAGGTGCCGTTGTTGTTGCGGCTGCTGCTGCTGATTGTAGCTACAACTTTTAGAATATAAAGAGTCGTAATCTTTGGCAGCGGTCGTCAGTGATGTCATAGTGACGTCACAGTTTCGGCTTGCAGGCGCACCAGCGTTATTAGAAGATATGATATCCAGCATGAAGTTGTTTGGATTTTTATCAACTGCGGATGAATACGGCGATAATTCGGCTCTACTTTTTGGCGGGGGAGAGGGAATGCATCGAGTCCGAGTCGTAGATTCATAACAATCCAATATGGCCGCATTACAACCTATGCAGCGCGGAAGTGTAACTTCTTGCGGTTGCTGCTGCTGTTGCTGCTGCTGTTGCTGCTGCTGTTGCTGCTGCACGTGATAGGAGTAAACAGCGCTAGGATATGTGACGTCATGATGTTGTTGCTGTTGGTGATGATGATGATGGTGAGATGAAAATGGCGGCAAAATGTATCTGGAAGGCTGTTTGTTGGTCAATTTAGAAGCGGGAATGTAGGCTGCACAGCTCGGGTGGCTGGTCGTCGATCGCTTGTGGAATCTGCATTGTATGGTGGTTGGTTGTGGTTGTTGTTGTGTGTGCGTGTGTGCGTGCGTGTGCGTGTTGTACATTGTTTGCATGTGCGTGTAGAGAGCGGTGTCCGACATAAATTGTCAAACCATGTTAACATACGTGTAGAACAGTTAACGAACTTACTGAATAATTTATAAGTCTGTCGTACTTAAGTTAAGTTAGTCATCGTCGTCATCATCATCATCATCATCGTCATCATCATCATCATTGTCGTCATCATCATCGTTGTCTTCATCATTTCTTCGTCATCATCATCATCCTCCTTCTCCGTTTCATTCTTACCATCAGGCTCA